GCTCCGGCCGGTGGCCCTCACCCTGGCGAGGGGCCATAACCACCCACCCCGGGCACAGGCTGGGCCGGCAGGGCAGGAGGAAAGCGTTTTGCTCGGCCTCCTTGGCTGCACCAAGCCCCCTCTGAGGGCAGCGGGGAGAGGAGTCTCGGCTCTGGGGGATGCTCTCTGCACCCTCCTCTTGCAGAACAGCCCCGTGTCCCCCTGCCACAGCACCCACGGGTGTGCAGGAGCCGCCAGAGGTGCCTGCACTGCACAGCTCACTCCACGGGCCACAGCGTGCATGGGGTGCATGGAGTACCCCTGTGGGGCTGGCCACCCGCCCTAGCGCCTGGCCTGGCACTGGTGAGACACGACAACGCTTCGTCCCTCTGAATCAGCCCTGCCACGTCCTGGCTGGGAGCCGGTTTTGTCACTCACCACCCCTGCAGCATGCCAGGCGCAGGGAGTGGGGATCCCGGCATGAAGCAGACCTGGTGACCGGGCATCCTGGCCTCCTCAGGGAGCGGGATGCCTGCAGCAGCCCTGCTCCATCCCCATGGCAGCCCATGCACGGCACTCCTCTCTCCCTGGGAGCGACTGCACCCACACCATCCCCAGCTTGGGTTTGGGGACACATGCATCCAGCGTGCTCACGCACTGGGGCCCCGCTTGCTGCCAGCTCCCCCCGATGCATGCCAGAGTCCTCAAGCTGTGCTGCCAGTGCTCACCCACACACACACAGTGTCCCCAGTCCCTGCTCATCAGGCTCACATGCTTGCATTATCCTCGGTGCGGTGCCAAGGCACGCAACCGCTCCCTCCGTCCCCGGCCTCCCTGTTCCCCGCGGCTCCTTTTCACCGCTCTGCTGCACACCAGAGCAGCAGGACACACGGCCTCTGAATGGGGGGACCCTTCGCAACAGTGCCATTTCCCAACCTGCTGGCACCAGGAACATGTCTGCGAGCTGCAGCTCAGCCACGTGTGGGGCACCCCCAGCAGCCCATGGGGATGCTGGGTCCCTGCCAGAGGGACAGGCACACGCCCGTGGCAGCAGGCAGTACCGGCATCGCGCCGAGGCCTCGGTCTGGGCAGGTTGCAGTGATGCCGGGCTGACTTCAACGGGTACTGGTCACAGCCGCACCCCTCCTTCCCGTCTGCCCCGTTTCCTGCTGCCACATCTCCACCATGGGCTGTGCTCCCCCATCCCCTGGGATGGCAGCTCCCGCGGAGCCCTGGCCCTCGGCCCTAGGATAGGGATGCCCTGTTCCCTGGGCAGAGATGCCCCTGCGTCCCACGGGCTTTTCCCCAGCCCCTTCTCTCCACTCGCCTCAGTCCCCCCCACATCACGATACTACACCAGTTTCATGTGGCCACCAGCAAACCGCTCCGGGCATGCACCACCCGGTTTAAAAAAATCTGGCAATAAAAGCCAGCCGATTGCCATGCCTGCAGCAGCCCCCGCATGGCCTCACTGACAGCATATTTGGGCCCCAGAAGGGGGGTCACAGAGGGGCAGGACTGAGACTCCATGGGCTTTCTCTGCCCCCAAGCATCCTGACACCTTCCTCAGGGCTGCTGAGAGCATAGGAACACCGGGAGGCCTCCGGCTTGGCTCCACAGGGCTCCAGGGACAGCAGGCAGGGTGTTATCCATCTGCAGAAAGGCGATGGGGAAAAACCTTGTCCCCTCCTACTGGGCCATTGCTAATAATGAAGTGCGTGGGGGGGAAACAGAGCCGAGCGACCTCCGAGTCACATTCAGGGCTATAAAAGGAAGCCAGGTCTCCAGCATGGCGCCTCTTCCACAAAAGCAACCGGAGGATGAGGGGGCTGTGCACAGATCTGAGAAATAGCTGCCAGGCAGCGGGAGAGGAGCCTTTAGCGCTGAGCAAAGTGCGAGGTGCGCATATGCTCTCTGTTTCTGCACATCTACGTCTTCATGAAACCTGCCCCGAAACTGTGTCATCTATTTTGAACGGTGCAGAGAAATACTTTAATGTGCCTCCACCAGCCCTGGCTGCAGTTCAGGCACCAGTAAGTGCCTGGCATACAGGTGGCTGATCCCAAAACCTGTGCGATGGAGAGACAGGAGTGGGGCTGCTGGGCCAACACCTCCCTCTGGCTGACCACAGCAAGGGACTTGATGGGTCCTGGGAACACCTCTGGAGCAGCGCACCATGTGCTACCATCCTGCCTACCATCTTCACGCCAGATACCAGCGCTGCTTTGGGGCTGCCAGGCTGGAGAGGCCACTGGCAGCTCAGTGCGTCCCAAGCTGGGGAGGAGGACACGCTGGGCCTGCCTGCGCCTCAGACGATGCAAAGCAGCACGGCCTGATCCTCGCCACCCTGCACTGCCACCTCAACCCCTTCCTTGGGAGGCAGCCCCCCTCGCACGCCGGTCCACAGGGCTTGACTCCTCACGGAGCTCTGGAGAAGCACGGAAATCAGACAGTGCCAGATCTCTCCAGACAGCCCATCCCGCTGCCCCTACACAGTACACGACCCCCACACTTGGCTCTGATGCTTTTGCCTCCCTCATCCTGGCGCTCCTTCCCGGAGGTGCCACGTCCCTGGGGCCGCTCGGCTTCCTGGGATGGCAACAGCTTCTGTCTGGGGACATCTGTAGGCACCCGGCAAAGCGATGGCTCCGGGAAGCGCCAGGCAGGGGACAAGGACAAAAGGGGACCAGGAAACACAGTGGGCCTGGTGCCAGCGCTGGCGAACACAGGGGTACTGGCTGCTCGGCTGGGTTTTCTGTGTGCCAAGACCCCAGAACCAGCACGGTGCAGTCCTGCACATGGCACCACCTGTGAGACAGCCCAAGCACCCTCTGCTCTGGAGTGGCACAGCACCATTTCATCCAGCAGCCCGAGACCGTGGCCAGGCCAGGTTGGTGATGGAGGAGAGGAGCCCAGCACTAGTGGGGTCTCGAGAGTCTGGGGGTGTCTCTGCCACCCCTCGGCAGATCACAGTGAGCGGCAGGAGCCCAGAGGTCCCAGTGCCTGTTTGCTCCCAGCACGAGCAGGCACAGACCAGGTGCTGCTCCACGGCCGCTGCTCCCGCCTGGGGCTCAAAAGCCAGGTACCAAGCAGGGCATGCAGCCCCCCCCCTGCCTCTCCTGCCCAGCTCTGCACATCCCACTTCCCAGCAAAAGGTGCTGGTGTGGCTGATTTCTACCAAACCCAAACAACTGGTAGCCCCCAGGGCCCTTCCTCACCTTCCTGGCTTCCACACCTCCTGGATCCAGCACTGCAGAGCACCCAGGTGGGTTCCCAGCAGCCAGAGGACATTTGCCTCTTCCTTCTCTTGTCTCCTCTCCCAGGGCATGCTCCCAGCACACAGCAGCAGTGCTTCAGCTGCCTCCCACGGGCTGCTCTTGCTCTGACAGCGGCAGGTCCCCAAGTCACCACACAGGCTGGGGACCTGGGGTTTCTGCAGGGTGCATTGCCCAGGTCACCTCATGCTCAGTAGCACCCCAAGGCTGACACAGCCTTTTGCCCGGGTACCTTCCCCAAGCCATTCACTGACCCAGACAAGCCACATCCACAGTGGGGGCGCTTGAGCCCACAGCAGAGCCCTCGCAGGCTCCACCAGCAGCGAGGGACCAGCACTGTGATACCCTCAGCAACTAAATACCTCCCACCCTGCTGGAAGGGGAAGCCCAGACCTTTGTCCTGCCATGCCATGGGAGAAGCCAGCCTGGTGGCGAGGCAGGGCCAGCCAGCTAGACCGAGCGGGTGAGACCTGCAGTCGAGGCCCCGCACAGCCTTGCCTCTCCCTCACCAACCCAAACCTTCCTGCTCCCGCCTCAAGGGGACCATCCCAGCCCTTATCTTGCCCAGGGAAGCTCTTGTTCCCCTCAGCTCAGGCAGGTTAGGGGCAACTGTCCCAATTCCTGGACTTGACCCTTGCCATTGCCCCGGCTCCACCAGCACTGTGGTGAGCTCGGACACCAGTCTTTCCCAGTACAGCTCATACAGGGCCAGAGCAGATCCCAGCTCCCCTCAGCGCTGCTGGGTGGACATCAGGCTCTCCAACGCCTCCTGAAAAAGGCCGAGGCAGCACACGCCACAGAAGGCAGGCAAGGAAGGGTACAGCTCAGCCAGAACTCTCCTCCTTACCCCACAGAGAGAGAAGTCCTGGGCTACCTCAACTGCTGACATCCAGCAGAGCTGCGGATGCTGGGGTTCGGGGCACGGCTCAACCACAACCGCTTCCTGCAACGAAGCGACCACAACACAGCCCTGGGGGTACCTAGCAGCTGAAAGGCAGGCACCGTCTTACTCGGAGCCCGTTTCAGACGGACTTGGCCTCCAAACCCAAGCAGATCGCCTGTCCAGACAGCGCGTAGCTGGGGCCAAGCCAGAAGTGGGTGTGCTGAAGCCAGCATGGTGAAGGGAGCAGGAAAAAGGAGCGGCGCAGCACAGCCCAGGGCATTCACAACTCACAGGTGCCCTGATAGTTCTTTATTGTCCTCTGAGCTGGGTGGCAGCTCAGCCATGTCCAGTGCAGGAAAACTGCCTTCTGCGTCTGCCCTGGGAATCAGCACCAGTGTCCACACCAATGCTGCAGAGTCCCGCTCTCAGCCTCTTCTGTTGGTCCTAGCAACGCCCGGTTCCCAGCCGTTTCTGTTCCTCCGCATCTCGCCAGCACCGCCATGCTCGTCTGCTGCAAAAATCCTGCCTGCTCCAAGCAGCTCGGTGGCAGCCCTGACATCTCAGCACAAGCACAGCGCACGCAACCGGCACACAGGAGACAGGCTCAGCCAAACGTGCACCAGGGGGTCTCGCTTGTGTCACAGTCCAGCAAGATATTAAGGACGGTGCAAGGGGCTCCTGCCACACTCAGAGCTGTCCGTGACTCGATTCGGTACCTCACGTTGTTCAGACCTCCCTCCCGATCCACCTTAAACTGCTCCTGAGGAAGAGAAAGACCATTCAGCCCATGCCAGCTTCCAGTGGAGGGGGAAGCACCCCATGCCTGGGGAGGGAGCAGAGAGCTGGCAGGGGAGGACACAAGAAAGGAGGGCTCAGAGCAGGTGGTGATCACAACCCGAATCTCCCATGGTTCCCCTCGACCACAGAGAGGTCCCACCTGCTTCTGCGCAGCGATGCGCTTCTGGTCTCTCTTCCTCCAGACTGGGTCATGCAGGTGCTGGAAAGTCTCATATCCAGTCGTGATTCCAGAGGGACGGCGAACCTAGAAGAAGAGCAAGGCTTCTGTAAAGCTACTGGAAAACCTGCTGCGCCTGCTACTGGAATGGGGTGCACAAAAGGGCTGCCTTCCCCAGGTCCTGACCTGGACAGCTACAGCCGGGGACCAGGTGGGGAGACAAAAAGGGCAATTCCAACCTAGGAGGCCATGGAGCATGCCTTACCTGGAGACCAGCTCCTTTGATACGTCGGTAAAACTCATCGTCCTCCCGTCCCCAGCCCCAGAAGCGGTTGGACATGCCGTTGCACTGAAATGAGAGGGGCATTGTACCAGCTGAGGTCTGGTCCAGCACAACTCCAGGTGCCGCAGAGGAGCAGACAGCAGTATCACAAGCCCCGAGCACCAGTGCAGCCTCCTCTCTCCTCCCCCACCAGCTCACATCGCAGGCTCTGTCCCTGAACCATTCTGACTCCTTTCCCCGCTTCCCAAGTGTGGAGCACAAAATGTACAACCGTTCACCAAGACAGTGTCATAGCCCCTACCCCAAACTGGCCGGGAGGTCCCACCCACGTGCTCACCATCTCATAGTGCTGCTTGGTGAGCAGCAGGATGCCACCCACGTAGGTCTTATAGTGGTAGAGCGGGTGCAGCTCTGGGGACCC